CAGAAGGTCCCTAGTGTTCTCCGAGATTCTGAAGGCTTCCCCGAGATTCTGAAGACCTACTTAGACAATATTGAGCTAAATGGACCAAAAGTATGAATTGGGATAATGCAGCTGCTTGTGTTTCAATGTACTGGAGAAGGCAAGAATGCAGTGCTCCAGTCTGCCTGAGCTGAAGTTTAGGAGGAAGTGGTAGCTGGAGATTTAATCCAATAATTAGCTGACCCAAGACCCAGAAGAGTGACATTGCCCCAAGTGAGGTATTCCAGCTTTAGTTTGTGGACAGGGTTAGTGCATCCACAATGCCCCATGCCCTGGAAAGCTGCTGACTGGGCTACTGTAATGCATTGTAGAGGGCTTCTCCCACAGGCACCTGACTGGCAATTGTGGGAAGAGGATGCTGGACTAGATGGGCTCTTAATTTTCACTGTGTGTCCTGCGAGGGAAAACCTGATCAGTCGATGAGACAGGGTGGAGCCTTCTCTGTGGTGGCGCCCCATTGAGAGCATGCTGCCTCTCCCTCCTAGTTGACTAGTGCTGAGGAGGAACCTGGGGGGCGGGGGCGCTTTGCCCAAGCACTAGGATGAGCCCAAGGGGGCAAACGCTTCTCGCATCTGCCTCGGTTGCTGCTTGTTTATGGTGCTTGGCTGCTCTCTCCTTTGGACACTTCTAATTATATTAATAACTTTGTATTAATATTAATATTAATAAATAATAGTACTTATATTCTTAGCACCTATTAATAATAGTTAATAATCACAACTGCAAATGTTGGGGTGTTAGGCTGCGACCAAGCATCCTCCACCTTTTATTCATAGCAACTATTATGTTACTAATTACAACGGCCGCTTGCGGCGCGTGTGTGTCTCAGACGGTTCCACGTCTCCTCCTCCCCCCCCCCCCGTCCAGGATGGCGCGTGTGGGGAGGGGTCGTGCCTCCGCCGCCCCCCAACCCAGTCCGGTTCTCGGAGCTCCTCCCGGCTAGCAGGGGAAGAAAACTGCGCAGCCGCAGAGTGGCGAGCCCCTTAGCACGCCTCGGGCAACGAGACACATAGGCGGAGTCAGCCCCCTGGGAAAGCCAAGGCGAGGTCAGTCTACCACTTCACATGCCTATGGTCTGCAATTGGCGTCCGGGGGCTCCCGCAGAGCCTAAACTTCCTGTAAGGAGCGGAAGCAGTGCTTGCCCGGGACTCTCTAGGGCTATCGCCTCTCTCGGCTTTGTCCTGGGCGGCGCCGCCACTCCTTCCGCCCCAATAGTCGGCGCCGGGCAGAAGTTGCGTCATGCCAGCGGCTTGCGGCACAGGAAGTGTCCCCGTGCGAGGCGCGGATGTAGGGGATCGGCGAAGCGTAGAGCGTCGTAGTGTTCGCTTGACTGGCTGAGCCGCTGGCCGGAGAGGGGCTCCTTCGCCTTTCCTTCTGCGCATGTACAGAGCGCCTCTGCTGCTCGGTCTGAGGCTCCGGCGTTGCTGGCGCTGCTCCTTCTCCTCGTCCTTCCCGGTCAGACCTTGGCGCGGCGGCGGGGCTGGTGCTTCTGAGGAGGGCGCACCTTCCGCTCCTGGACTGCCGGCCATGGCGAGGGTCCCCCTGCCGATACCTCTGCCGGCTTCCGGGCCGGACCGTCAGTCGGCGCTGTTGGCGGCGGCGTCCGCGCTGCGCGAGGGCGGCCTGGTGGCGCTGCCCACCGACACGGTCTACGGCGTGGCCTGCCTGGCCCAGGACTCGCGGGCGCTGGGAGCCGTTTACCGCCTGAAGGGCCGCGCCGCCAGTAAGCCCCTCGCTATCTGCCTCGCCGACGTCGAGCACGTCTACAGGTGCGGCGGGGTCGGCGAAGGAGGTGGGGGTCTTGCAATGGGGGGGTGGCCCTCCCTCCTCCTCTCCTCCTCATCCATCAGCGAAGCAGGGAGTCGGTGGATAGGGCCCCCGGCTGCTTCTGCCCCTTCCAGGAAGGCAGAAACCCAGCAAGCCTTTGGTATTGAGGTGTACCAGCTGATTAATCCTTTTATTTCCAGTGGCGTTTGAAGTTAAAAAACACAGGCGCTGATTTTATTTCCTTCAGAGTAAATAACGAGCGCCTCCAGTCAAGTATTAGTCTGATAGCCCACCGCTTTGTTTTGCTGCTTGCCTTTGGCTGCGTGACAGAGGATGGGCTCACCTTGTGCATACTTTCTCCTTCCCCTTTTGTAGGTACTGTAACGTTTGCGTGCCTGACAAGCTGCTGCAGGAACTCCTTCCTGGGCCAGTGACGCTGGTCCTGGAGCGCTCAGACACCCTCAACAAAGACTTGAACCCCTTCACCCCAGTGAGTCTTGGCTAGCAAGTTCTATAGAGACCCTTTTACCTTTTGGAGAGCTCCCAGTTTCCCAATAGGATGCTTACCAGTTGGGTGTTGGGTGTGCTCTTAGGTTGACATCAGAGTGGACCTTCCTCCATTCCAGGCTGAAAGGCAAATCTGATTGATTGGGAATATTAGTGGAGATTTTAATTTTCCTTGGGATTATTTTTTTAAAAGCTATTGCCGGACTGCAAGTCTCAAGCTAAGCATGGCTACTTCTTTTCCTGTTTTATTTTCACTTAGTTATGTGGCCTGGGGGGCTGCATTCTGAGATGGGTGGGATAAAGGTGCAACAGATTCCTACTTCCTGTCCTATTCAAATGAGCAGGGCTGTATGTGGGTTGTTCTCACAGTGCAGAGTGGGGAAATCTCCATACCAACCTGCCCACAAGATCTGCTAGGAACTCTCTTCATGACCTGGTGGTAGTAGTGGAGGCCTGACTACTTAGGATTTTCTCTGTGTCTGTGCATTAGGAAATTTGTTGATCCCCCTTTCTGTTGCCTAGCCTTTTTATATTCTTATTCCAGCAGGCATTTAATTTAGTGTGTTAAGGGGTTTCCTGTGTTTTGGTAGATGAACTTATTTGCTACACCTGCCCTCTTAGGTTTTTTTTTACTGAATTAAACTTGTGTTGGACTTCACTGTAAGCTATCCTGAATGCTGTTGTGCAGTGGAAAGTGGGGCATATACTGTATATGTATGCATGCTTTCATATACATGCATGTATAAATATCCTGCCTTTTAAAACTATATATACATAAAAGCTAAAAGTAAGTAGTGGTACTCATTCATCTCTTCCTCTCCCCCACCCCGCTTTTGTCACAGTTAGTTGGTGTCCGCATTCCCAGTCACTGGTTCATCAGGGAGCTGGCCAGGGAGTGTGCTGGCCCTCTGGCCTTAACAAGCGCAAACATCAGTCAGGGGGCGAGCTCCCTCACAGTCACGGTAAGGGCTGCTTGAAACCTGCAGGACGGGATGATAATGGAAGCCTGGGTGGCTCTCCAAGTCCCCAGGGAAGGGCATTATGTTCCATTTTGTTTTAATTGGCTTGCTCCTCTCAGAGGGTAAAGCCACTGTGTGTTTAAGCAGGAGCTTATGGTACCCTTTTCTCTGTGGTTGTTGGCTATTAGCATCTGGTGGTGCACACTGGCTCAGGAGCCTGCTGAGCTCTTATGCTCTTCTTCTTTTATATTTCAGGAGTTCCAAGAGCTCTGGCCTCACCTGTCACTTGTAATTGATGGGGGCCCCACTGGGGACATCCATAGACCAGAGTCCCGTCTAGGCTCTACCGTGATTGACCTTTCTGTTCCTGGCAAGTTCAAGATTATCCGGGGAGGATGGTAAGCCTCACACAGCCTCCTCTCCACCTGAGTGGCATTTGTAGGCTGCAGAGTCTTCCTCTGAATAGGATGGAACTATTTAGCCCCAGGACAGTGGTCCTTGGGGTGTGTGTGGTGGTGGTCCTAAAGGAGGCAGGCTCCTCCTGCAAATGATTCCCAGAAGCACACCTGCTTACTCCTGCAGGTGGAGTGCCTTGTGAATTGGGTCAAACCTCCTATTTTGACTTTGCATTTAACACCCGGATGATGCTAAATTAGCCTTCAAGAATATTAAGCTGCAAACAATGCAGATTTTGTCCCTGGCATCTTACTCCTTCTTTTCTTTTCTGCAGTGCACTTATTCAGACCGTTGAGATCCTGGCAGTCAAGTATGGCCTGACAGCTGAGCTGCCTATATGTGGTCAACTCACACAGTCTCTGGGCAAGTAGATGGTGTGTGACATATCAGGAAGCTGTTTGAAAGAGCCTTGTCCTGGAAAGTATAACTCTGCCCTTCTTGGGTGCAAAGGGAGCCTCCCCTCCTTTCCCAGTTGACTTCTGTGACTCCAGAAGGATCTGGCCCTGCTGGGGGCGAAGTATTTTCTCCTTCCTGGCATTTCCTTTTGGATTTAGGGAGGGGCACACAGTTCTGTGCCTAAGTATCCCTCCCTTTTAGGAAGTCTGTCCTCTCTATCCCTTGAACACTTGGCCTGGAGGGGTTGAAGCATTTGAAGAAGACAGTGCAGCTGACAATCATGGAGTGTATAGAAAAGCAGGAAGATGCATTTTGAGGGGCCCTGGTAGGTGGAGCTTGCCTGTGACCAGCGGGGACCAAACTGCCTTGAACCCAGCTCTTCTGAAAACAGAGACCAGACCAGCCACTGACGGGCAAGCAACAGGCTGCGTTTTTGACCAATATCATTAAAATGGAAACCTAGTGTATGTTGGCCTCCATGTTCTTTAGTATGCGGAGGGTGGGGAATTAGACTGGGGGGAAATTACCTATTGGAGGGTGACATGCAGTATTGATAATCCTAGTGGTGTAGGATTAATGGTAAAATGAGAATCTAGCTCATTTTCCCCATGCAACCACTGTAGAGTTCACTTAGTAACTTTGCCTGAACTGCAGGCATGGGGCCCAAACAGCACACTTGCTCGTCTTTCCAGCCCAGCCCCCAAACTACTCATAGGTTGGAGTACAGTACAACTCATTCCGCAAAGTCTGCAACAAGCTATTAAGAAGCAGTCTCCTTTTGAAGCAAACGCCAAAACTCCACGCCCCATTAGGTCACTGGGGCATCACTTTTTCTGCCCTTGCTGCCTGTCTTGAAGGAATAAATGCCAACACCAGTGAGGTTCTTGTTTTATTGCAAGACTGGGTGCATTTCTGATCATTGGAATTCCAAAGACATAATACAGCATGTGGTTTCTGAGAACTTTCCTGCATACACAAATTGTCTAGGTTTTGTTTTTTTAATAAGGGTAGGGCTCCATCAGGTTATGTTTGCTGGGAGCAGCAACAGGGTAGAGGTCTAAGTAGCAGTGGCAGCAGAGAAGGAATAAATATCCCTGGAACTGAATAGCAACAGGGATGTGCTGTTCAGTTTAGCACCTCCTGCAGAACTCAGATTTGAAATGAATTGTCTTCTTGGCTTGCAGCAGGCAAAGAGATTTATTCTTTTAAGGAAAGCTGAGGGCTTGGAGTGAGGAGGATTGCAAGAGCACTAGCCCAACTATATCTGGGGAGTTTTGCACAGTCGTATATCGGTGTGCTGCCCTGCAGGAGCATAGCAAACCTCTCAAGAGGTATTTCAACATGAAACACAGCTCATCCCTCTTCACCCAGGTTCCAGAAACGTACAGCTCTGAGAACAGCTTCCTCCACCTGAATGGCTACCAGCTTCTCTCTGGGTCTCTTCATGACCAGGAGAATCAACCCTTCACAGCTTGCTCACATGAGCCACTGCTCTTTCTCTTTGCTGTAGTGCTCTGCCCACCTACGGGTTAGTTCCAGGTACATGTCCGGCTGGTGGGGCAAGTAGTCCAAGTAGAGCCGGGTCAGGGTCTTCTTGGGTGTGGCCTTCTCGATCTGGGTGCCTTCGTGCCATTCATTGAAGGACGTGATGGAGACTATCTCCGGGCGCACCATGAGGGCGGCCTGCAGGGCCGTCTCGTAGTACTTGCCGTTTACCCTGTTCCGTGTGTTGTGGTTGTTCCAGGGGCGGATGCTGGTGTCGATGTAACCAGGGCCCACGCTGGGGATGAAGAGGAGGTTGTTGGAGTCACAGAAGGCCTTGATGGCTTTCCAGTTCTGGTGGGAGGAGCCGTAGGAGAAGCCGTTGGAGGCAAAGTAGGTGTAGAGTCCATCGTAGCCGGCGGAGAGGATGTCGTGCTTGTGCCCCTCCTCCACCAGCAGGGCGATGAAGACGGCGTCATATGGGGTGTTGCGGAGAGAGTGGGAGCCGGAAGGGGTGAGCAGGTTTGCCCAGGCTTCGGGTGGCGTAAGGTATGAGTCATAAATATAAAATAAAGGCAGCCTCCGGCCCGTGCTGGTCTTGTATCTGTAGAAAGCATCATGTGTTCCATACCTGCCAAGATAATAGGCTGTTTAATGCCCCACATTTGGCCTTATAAGTCCACAAGCAGCCTAGAGAAACTTGGTCCTGCTCTTAGCAGAGAAGGCAAGTTGCCTGGTTTTTCCCCGCTCTGAATGTTGCATCAGTACCCTCTTCGCTTCCAGTTTCTCTGATTCTCTGTCTGCCAACAGATACCCAGTGAAAGCTGAGCTCCAGCACTGGGGTCCTTTGACAGGGAGACTGAGCAAAGAGCCCCCTTCTCCCCCTTCCAGCCAGCCCAGCAGCCTGACCACATCACCAGTATCTGAAGGTTTTTAGGTTTTCTTATGAGGGCCATTTTTCTCCAGCCAAAAGAGCAGATTGCCACAAATTCAATAAGTAGCATTTAAAACTTACAGTTTAAACACTCTTTATTTATTAAATAAGCAACACTCATCTTCAGCCCTGAGTCCTTGGGTTTCACACAAGCAAAAGTGGCCCTTTGTTCTACGCAAGCCTCTCAAGGGTAGGAATGGCCTCTCTTATCTTTTTAACCCTTTGCTTTCGGAGTACTGTACTTACTTGTCTATGATATATTTCACATTGCTGTGCAGAGTGTTGTCGTCACGCCCTTTATATGGCTGTATGTGGAAGGTGACCTGCAGAAAAGGAACATGGGGCAGCAGCAGTTGTGCAGCACCCCCAGCCACACAGTCAGTGGACAGCAGCAACTGCAGGAGTAATCTCCCACCCACATTAGTCCTATCCCTTCACCACAACAGCTAAAAGTTGTTAAAGGAAGGTGGTGGACTCTCCTTCACTGGAGGTTTTTAAACAGAAGTTGGACAGCCACCTGCCATGTAAGATTCATTCTTTCCCTCCATTTTTGTTCCTTCTTATGTATCAAAATCAGTTTTGGGGGTGGAGAGAGAAGAGACTGAACTGTCACAGGCAGGCATGGCTCTGTAATACTATTTTTATTCCCTGAACTTCCAGATTTCCCCACCCCATTACAAGGCTTCAAGCAGGGAGAAGCTAACCAATTAACAGGGACCCCCTGTAGTTCCCCTTGGCACTGTGGATGACTGCTCACGAGTGGAACCCCCACCAACCCTGGCTGCCACGTAGTTGGAAGCAGCTGTCATAAAACTCGCCTAATAGCCCCAAGCAGTGGTAACAACAGGCACCTGGATTGCGTATCTGTGTGCGGCGTCCAATATGAAGGGCACCAGGCTCTCAGAGGGCTCACCGTTGTCATCTGCTAGGCCAGGGGGGTACCAGGACAGAACCATGACTCCTGCAGAGACAGAGAGGATTGTGCCCACCCGCAGGAGCTAAGACTGCCTTCAACATCTGGCCGCTTTACGATCTGAAGATGATGATGCCCCCCTTAAATATGGATGCTGAAAGCCTGCTAGGCCAAAAAGATAGTCGGAACCATTGCACCTACCAGCCCCCACCCCTCAAAGAACTAACCTGCCCCTTCTTCACTTGATGCATAGAAACTATGGAACTCCCTCCCACAGGATGCAGTGATGGCCACCAGCTTGAATGGCTTTTAAAAAGGTTGAGACAAATTCAGGGAGAAGGTTATTGATTGCTAACCATGGAGGCTATGCTCTGCCATCACAGCTGGAGGCAAGCAATGCTTGTGTATAGCTGTAGTCCTGTATAGCAGTTGCCCCCGAATCCTGCTTGCAGTTTCCCACAGGCATATGATTGGCTCTTGTGAGAACAGGATGTTTGGCTCTGACTCGGTAGGCTCTCTTTCCTGATCCCTTGTTCCGTGCCTGCCAATAGCAAGACATCTGGCCTCTGCAGCAAAAGTGGTGATGGGGGAGGAGCTGTCCAGGACAAGGCAGTGCTGAAATTTCATCTGAGGTCCAGATGCTGAAATTTCAGACTCCAGCCTCTCGGGGTTGCCTGGAAACCCCAGAGAGGAAAAAAGAAAGGTCTTTGGCTTTGGATGCCGCTAGCGCAGATGTGGCATTTCCAACCCCCCACCTTCCACCCGCCAAAGCTAGACGAGTTGCTGGCAGGGAAGGCTGTTATCCTTTGAGGAGCATCTCTGGGCTTCCCCTCTGTGATATGAGGGATATTTTGCGGCCTTGGATGCTCCCAGGGATTTCAGCAGCCGCTGATTCAAGGGGCGACGAGGGGCTTTATGGGCAGCTTCTGAGCGGGGTCGGGGTCTTGTAGGGGTGCTCGGCCTCTCAATCGCCCTGGCCAGTCTGCCCCCCCCGCCTCCTTCCTCTCCGCACCCCTACCCCGCGGTCGGTTGGGGACGCGCCCTCACTGACCGATGGCGGCGGCGCGGAGCTGGCGCATGTGCTCCTCCAGGACTGCCGGGTCGCGGGAGCTGTAGGGCCCGAGGGCCGGGTAGAAGCTGGCTCCGATGTCCTCGGGGGGGCTGTGGCGGCCTTTCGGGTAGCTGGCCGAGATTTTGGGGTCCCAGTGGGGCACCATCACGTGGTCCCAGTGGAGGTAGCGGCTGTCGAAGCGCGGCGTCCCGTACCACGTGTAGTAGAAGACGTGCAGCGAGGAGGAGACGGACGGGGCGTCCCGGTCGGGCGGGGGCTGCGCCCCGACGGGGGGCGCAGGGGAGTCGGCTGGGGCGGGGGCCTCCTTGGCCTCTTTCTCCTCGGGCCAGGGCCCCGGGAAGCGGCGGCGCCGGGGGTCGTCGGGTGGGGGCTTGAGGGTGCGCAGCGCCAGGAGGGCGCCCAGGACGAAGAGCGCGCAGAGGAAGAGCGCCAGGCAGGCGCGGCGGCGCAGGCGCACCATCCCGGCCCCGAGCCCCAGCTGCCGCCGGCCCGGGCGGGCAGCCTCCCCGCTAACGGCCCAGGCGAGGCGCCGGCGCGGCACTTGGGCCCGTCTGCCTCCCGCCCTGCCCTCCCAGGCGGAAGAGCCCAACGGGCGGCAGGCCGGGCGACGCGCACTCTTCCCCCCGCTCCCGTCCTTTGGATGGTACGGTCCATGCATAGGGGCGGGGGGAGGAGGCCGGCATTAACCTCTCATTGTCCAGCCAGACTGCGCTGGGCCTGGGTCAAGGCACGGCAGCTCCTATTCCAGGCACGGGCGTCTTTTCTCATGAAAGAATGGGCAGGGCGCCTGAGGGAGAGGACCGGGCAGGCGGCGAGCCGCGGAAAGGAGGACTGATGGCAGTTACTGTAGCGATGACCGAAATGCTGAACAGACAGCTCCTCTGCACCAGGAAGGGTACCCATTAGAACTGTATAAGGCATATTCGGTTGCTGTGCCAAGCCCAAGTCGCCAGAGGAGCCCAGCAAGCCTCTTTCTGCCGTTGAGCCATCCAGCTGAGTCTTGGTGGTGCTGGCTGACAGGTGCTCCCTATCCCTACCTGGGCCTTCTGCATTCACGTGGGTGCGCTGCTTAAGAGAGAGAGAGAGGGGGCAGCCTGCTCTTCTCAAGAACAGCAGGCGGTGTGAGGGTACATGCTTAAAAAAAAAAAAAGCGGGGAAATGATAGCCCTAAGACGAGAGAGTCTAAGAGGGCAAAACACAAGTGGAGGATTCCCAGTCAATTCTGCAGCTGGAGAGCTCCTCTGCCTTGGACAATGCATTGACAGACCGCGGGATAGCAAATCTCTTGTTCCCAGAGGCGTAGCGTGGGGGAAGGGGGAGCCGTGGCCCCAGGCGCAATTTTGAATAGGGGCGCAAACAGTCGCCCCCACAGCAGGCTCCTTCATTGGAGCCTGGCTCCGTGCCAGAAGGAGCTGCGCCTTGGCTGCGGCGCTTGTGCCTGGTGCAGCTCCGCCCTCCGCCCCAGATCAGGCCTGACCTGGGGGAGGAAAGCAGGAGAGTCGGCGACAATGCTGCCGTCCACCTTCCTTGGCTGCGAGGAAGCAGCTTCCCCGCCCCACTCCTAACCCTGAACTGTGGCGCGTGGAGGGTGCCCTCCGCGCCCTTCGGGGGCGCGCCCCGCACACACACACTGGGTTGTGCCGGCATACGGTCCGACGCTGCCTGTTCCTTCTGGCACCACCTGGAGTCTGGTCCTAAAGCTCTAGCTGGTGCAGAATGCAGTGGCTGGATTGCTGGCAGGCAGCCAACCGACAGCAGGTGTGACCCCTCTGCAAAAATATCAACACTGTCTGCCCATAGGTTCCAGTTCTTTGCATGGTTATTCTTCAGCTTAGAGTAACTTAAGAACCACTGGAACCTTTATATCCCAGTTCAGTCACTGAGGAGTGCTGCTAGTCCCCCCCCCCCATGGTAGTAGCCCCTAAAAGGGACTAGAAGGGAGTGTCTTCATATAAGGAGGAGTTCCCTGTACTCCAGGGGTGATGCGATCCTCTGAAGAAATATGAATTGCTTGGGGTGAAGAGGAGCAAGGTATCAGTCTGGGTCTTTCCAGGGATGAATTACTGGGTGTGGCGCTTGGGCTCAGCTGAATGAGTGCCCTGGCAGCCTTGCATTGCATGCAAAGAACTGGAAATGCCAGAGTAAAAAAAAGCCAACTGGAGTTGGACTGCTGGGGGGCACACACCCTATCGGTTTCCCTGCATGATATTGGAGAGAGCATCGTCTGCCAGATCTTGTGATACAGGTCTGCTGTAGTGGGAATCTTCTGCACAGGTCCCTCTCACTGGCCACTCTCTTTGAGGCTGGTGGCCAGGGAAACCTGGGCCTTACCACTGCCATTCTGTATGCGGTGAGGCTCTGTTCTGTTCTTACAAGGGAGTCCCTGCCAGATGAATGCCTGCTGGGTGGTGCTGTTGCTCATCCTCTGCCTACTCCGTTGTTCTTCTAGTTCTGGATCTCAGTTTACATGATAAGCAGAGTTCACCGGATTAGTGGTTCCCAAACATTTTCAGGCCATTGCTTCCTTGGTTCCATAATTTCCCCCCAGTACCTGTTACCCTACCCTATAAAAAGCATTCAGAATAGTAGTTTGCACAAGCACAACCTACTGAAGAAATCAACAATGGGATCAAAGGTTAAAGCCGTAACAATTAGTTGCACATTTATTCAAAATCCAATTAAAAGTATTTAGTTTAAATAATTCTAAATAATTCTAAATAAAGTCTGGTAGTCTTTAATATCCCCAGTGTCCCTTTCCTCTTAAAAGCCCCTTAGGCAGCCCACTTTGCCGCTGCACTAGACAAAAGACAGTAGATGCTGGTGGAGGCATATCTTTCTGTTGGCTGCAGTTTGGTAGCTGGGCAGCAGGTGGCACTTTACCACTGTGGGGAGAGAAGACAGGAAATAGTAAGCCCCCCCCAGTGCCACCCAGGCACCCTCCTCAAGAAAGTACTTGTCAAATTGTGATTGTGTAGAGTATGGGGGAGTACAAATGCATGTGAATTGGGTGTGTGTGATTATGCTACAGGAAAATTAATCTAGATTCATGCTTGCTATCCTAAATGCAACCAGCCCACAACTCTTCTCTGACATTTTGCTGGGCCCATGGAGCAAAGGCGGGGAGCTAGTAGCCCAGGTGTGGCTTGTGGGATCTCCTCCCCACAGCACCACGTTTAATTGATGGATCGATTAAGACATGTATAGATCCCCCTTTGTCAAAAGGCTACTGGGCACTTTACATTGCAACATAATAGCCGTGCAACACGAGCACTTACATGCAATTATATATATATATATGGATGTCAAACTGTCCACAAATCACTACAGCTGCCATCCCCCTCACCTCAAAGCTCCGAAATACCTTCATTTGGAGGTACCAAGCCCCTAACCCCAACAGATGCAGGAGAGGGTGGGGGTGGGGGAGAAGGAGGCTTCTTTTGCTTGGGCTTCTGCCTTCTTTAAGGTAAGGAAGAGCAGGGCAGGTTCGCATCTGGCTGACTTCTGGGAGCCTGACCTCTTCAACAACTCAGAAATTCTGCATCTTTTGTTTGGTGACTGTAGGGAAAGTAAAGTACTAACTGTATTAAAAGTGGCTTATGTGAATTAGAGCTTTGGATGCACACAGAACACTTTGTCAGACTGGTTAGGGTTTCTTTTCATTTTGTTTAAAGTGAAGGAATGGGAGGAAGACCTTGGAGGAGCCTACGACCCCAGGAAATTATTATTTATTCATTTGTTGCATTTATACCCTCCTCTCCCACCCTCAAGAAGCTCAAGGTGGTGTATGTGGATCTCTGTCTCCCCATTTAATCCCTACAACAACCCTGTGAAGTAGGTTAGGGCAAAAGGCAGAGACTGGCCCAAGGTTACCCAGTGAGCTTCATGGCTGAGTGGAATTTTCAACCCTGGTCTCCCAGGTCCTAGTCTGACACTCTAACCACTGAACCACACTGCCCATCTCTCCCCCCTCAATGCCCCCACTCCTTTGCCATCTTTTCTTCTCTGCAGGCTGGACTGCCCCACCTGATAAGGATGGAATAAAAGGCTGTTGACAAGCAAAGAGGGCTGTGTGGACCGCTTGCTGTGCTTCCAGCGACTGCTGGTGTCTGTGGGGTCCAGAATCTGTAAGGAAGCAGCTCAAGGAAGGAGGAGTAATCCTGGGAATCACTTTGCTTTGATCCCATGCAATGGCAGGGATGGAGTGCCTTGAGGCTGGAGGCAGAGGCGGCTCTGCTCCCTTTGGAAATGACTCCTCTTAACTAAGCTGGCTGCTCAGCCATCCCACTGTCAGCATCAATCTGAGGTTAATTGTCAGGAGGCACCTCCAAGGTGGCCTTTGCTAGTTAGTGCAGGACAGGAAAGGAGATCGCATTGATGGGAGCTGGAGAGAAACCAGCACTTCCCTGCTCATTTTCTCTTTTCTGTGGAGGGAAAGAGAAGCCAAGGCAACTTAGCTGCATTTACATTTTAATGGGAAATGTCTTGCCTGCCTGCTCCTGGAGGGCTCACAAATTGCTTTCCAATTCTGGGCAGCTGCCTCATATGACATCAAAGAGCCCCCCCCCCATTGTAGCTCAGTTACAGTAGCGGGGGGGGGGACATTTTCCCACTTATGGTGGGAGTGCCCCCTGGCATCCAAATTTTGGACTGATGTTTTTGAAGCACTCTTTAAATGCTCCATCCAAGCCTGCCCCACAACTTGCCCTTCTGAACTTCAGTTCCAGTCTCAACCCTTGATCAGCATATAGATAAAATCCTGAAAGGTTCGGTACAATAAAACCACACAGTCAAAACCTGCATTTAACAATCGAAATACTGTTGCACTGTATATAACATTCACAAATCCTCATTGTGTGTTGTAGAAACCTAGCTACTATCCTCACCTTATCCCCATCCTGGTTAAACATTAGAAAGGCCACCTTACATTCACCTGACTGTCACTCCCTGCTAACAATGAACCGATCAATGAGCTTAATCGAATTGTCTGATACAAGGGGCAGTGCAAAAGAACCTGCTAGAGTCAGACTGATTCTATATGGCTCTCTCCACAGGGGCATAGTCTCTCTGCGAATGGAATCTTCCCTGTAGTATCGCCGATGGTAGCTTGCTAAGAAGAATCCACACTAAAATGCTGAATAATTTTCATGAGGATCTTTTTTAAAGCTGCAAATAGTTGCTGAGTTTAAGAGATCCACAAATGACAGATCCTTACCTCCCAAGTGTGGACCTCTCTCTCTACAGTGGTACCTCGCAAGACGAATGCCTCGCAAGACAAAAAACTCGCTAAACGAAATGTTTTTTTGTTTTTTGAGCTGCTTCGCAAGACGATTTTCCCTATGGGCTTGCTTCGCAAGACGGAAATGTCTTGCAAGTTTGTTTCCTTTTTCTTAACACCGTTAATACAGTTGCGACTTGACTTCGAGGAGCAACTCATAGAACGCGGTGTGGTAGCCTTTTTTGAGGTTTTTAAAGACTTTGGTGATTTTGGAAGCTTTTCCAAAACTTTCCCGACACCGTGCTTCGCAAG